CTCGGGCATCTCTTTCGGATGCCTCCTGGGCGCCTTCCTAGGGAGGTGTTCCGGGCATGTCCCACCGGGAGGAGGCCCCGGGGAAGACCCAGGACACGCTGGAGGGACTATGTCTCTCGGCTGGCCTGGGAACGCCGCGGCATTCCCCCGGAGGAGCTGGAGGAAGTGTCTGAAGAGAGGGAAGTCTGGGCATCTCTGCTTAGTCTGCTGCCCCTGTGACCGGGTTCCGGATAAGCAGAAGAAGATGGATGGATGGATGGACAATATGAGTCAGTTTCATCCTGATTGGGAAGGAGAGGGATCAGCTGTTGTTGTCAAGAGACTTCAGTGGGGCATTGCGTGTCTGATTGATCGCATGGGTGTGATGTCACAGTTGGCAGCTTCAAAATACCTCACTCCCTGGGTAGGAGATTTAATTTTTTAAATAGCATCAAAACAGAGCGGAAACAGATTGCAGTAATTTGACAGCAAAAGAGGACCTCCACCATCACTCTGATCCATCTCAAACCCATTTCCCCCCACTATATCAGCTCTTTAACTCATGTCCCTTTTTGTCTCTGTTTCAGCTGTATAAAGTCACTCCCCAGGAGGAAAAGTGTGGTACTCTGCTGGATGCAGTTGTATGCAGAATGGCCACCAAGGATGTCATGTAGCTCCAAGGATATATAAGACCTGAACATAACTATTCTAATAGAACATTTGTTGTATTTTTGTCATTTGAGATGTTTAGATTTTTTTTTTTAATTAGTCCACCACATTCTGAGATTCAAGCATGCAAATATTGTCTTTTTGTTGCACTCAGTTCAAACTCCACAAACCGGTTTCAACTATGGAAAGGTCATGTTTTATGTAGCATTGAGCTCAGTCTCCCAACTGACCAAATATATCTTATTTTTCATATCTCTTTTCGTGAATTTGTCTTATTTCATCTTTCTGTATCATGGTTAGACAGTGACAGGAGGAGAAAGGTTGGGAGGTAGTCACTGAAGTTACATCACAGCAACTTTTCATGCTCATTTCTTTGGGCTTTTTCAGTGACAGTTATTTTGGATTCTGAAAATTGAGAGTGAGGTCTGAGATTTTTGACAGTAGAACAATCATGTAAAGCTGGTCTCATCATGCCGTGGTTGTGAATAATGAATCTCAAGTGCCCTGGGACAGAAATTTGATTTGATTTGATTTGATTTCTGCAGTAATGTGGTTGATGTACTGGTCTGTCGTGGTGAAGAAGGAGCTGAGCTGTAAGGTGAAGCTCTCAATTTACTAGTCGATCTACGTTCCTACTCTCACCTATGAGCTTTGGGTCATGACCGAAAGGGCAAGATCCCAGATACAGGTGGCCGAAATGAGCTTCCTACAGATAGGATGAGGAGCTCGGTCATTCAGGAGGAGCTCAGAGTAGAACTGCTGCTCCTCCACATTGAGAGGAGCCAGCTGAGGACTGTCGTTATGCATAGCACAGCGAAATTTATTCTGGGAGCTCTCGGCTTAAAAGACACATTATTTATATAAATAGCATAAAAACTGTACAAGTCAATATAAAAATGTGAACAGATAAAAGTAAAAATGTATGGGACCTAATCAGGTCAACAGAAAATTAGCAGCAGAAGAATATAGTCACATTCTAAAGTGCAGCTCAGTGCAAATCTGTCTTTAAGAAGAGGTGTGACCATGGGTGTGTGTCTGCAGAGGTCCGGTGTTCTGTCTGTCTGTCCATAGGGGGGAGGTTGTATGTGTGTGACTAGGGGTTAGTGGGGGTGATTGATTTCACAGCCCTGGGGAAGAAGCTGTGTCTCAGTCTGTTTGTTTTAGTCTTTATATTCCTGTACCTTTTCCTGGAGGGAAGAGGCACAAACAGACTGTTGCCTGGGTGGGTGGGGTCTGCAGCAATCCGTC